GCGAAACCTTTTTTCAATATAGAGTTGGCTCTCCGTAGGACCTGAAACCTGAGCCTTCTCGGTGTCAGCCGTTACGGGAATTCTGGAGCACTGTGTATACGCGCGAAGATGACAATTTGCCTCCGCATAGTAAACTTTCGGAAGATGGATCGAGCATCCTGTACGGAGTAGTACTTCGCAGCAAACCAAGCCAATGTCCAGCTTCAAATTTGCGCCACATGCCGAACAAAACAATGATGAACAAGGAGGCCGTGGGCCAGTAAATAGATTTTCACGGGAGTTTGTGGTTCTCGTTCCCGGCCGTACCAGAATTGAAAACCAATGTCAATATGTTCACGGCTGCGCACTTGTAAAGCGGAGCATGCAAAAGGAGATAATCGTGTTTCTTGGAATAGAATTGTGGGCTTGGTAAGCCCAGAGTTGCATTTTGCCTCGCATCGAGACAGATTCTTCGGATTTCGAATTACGATCCCACCCGAGACTCAAGGTTCAAGTTGAAGGATCGGAGATGTTGCTTTATCCGGAGACCTAGTTATGGTTTGGCTGGTACAGAGCATCGCTGTGTACAGCATCTGTGAATTGCTTTTTACGGTGCTCTACATGCTTGCTTTTTCCTATGCAAATCGATTGTTGCTCCAGGATTCAGATCATGCAGACTGCCCGGATCTTGTTGTTCCCCGAGCAAGGTTCTGAAAATGGTAAGAGCATTAGATCCTAGAGCTTAGCAGGAAGAAACTAAACTCCCGTGGCTGGATGAAATAGTTTGAGTACGAAGTCCGAGCCGTAGAGCCCATACCACTGCATAGTATAGTAGATGCCAGCCCCCGAAAAGCCGGCCGAATCCCAGTGATAGGGATCGAAATGGCATTATGTATCGTTAGGGACCAGGAATTGGTACCTGCTCGATTGAACAAGTTCATTGCAGCGCATCAGATCGTAAACTCGACCAAGAGAGCAGCTCACCAGGAGATCTTTCTCGTATACGGCGTTAAATCCCAATTTTTTGGTTTTGATTCTTCCAGATACCCCGCGTCGCTTCGGTAAGGAGTTTGTGCAAAATAAACTTCTCCGGATCCCCAGAATCGTAATTTTTTATTCCATAGATAGAACACATATAATTCTAATATTAGGGGCCCGGAATGTTTATCCATGCAGCATAGTCAGCAGGATGCTTAGCTACGGGACTGACCGTAGCTACCTACCCCTGACGGGCAATTAATATGACAATGTGTATTAGACTGCATTGCAAAGGTCCATGCGACAGGGAATTATTGCTAGCGCTACGCTGCTTTGGGGAAGGTCGACATTCGGATATTTTATCTGATATGAAGTGCTGGAGGAAACATCACCACTCAGCAGTCGCCGATCCACATTCCTGCCCCGTAAAGGGGTTACTCCGTCAATTGCAAGTCTTCACTGCACTCCGTATTAACCCGGGGTATTCCGTCGTTGTGTTCCTGGTTAGTCTCCTTCCGATCAGTGGAAAGCGTACGGAGTATACGAGCTAGCAGCACGAGCCATGGTGATCTCTGCACTTATTAGGCTGTCACCCCGGCGCTGTATAACAAATGCAGTCGAGGGCACAGACGCATGTGCGATAATCCCGGAGTGCGCCATCAGAGTGATAGAATGGAGGACTGGTTATTGCTCGAGTCATGAGTTGAGGCCCAAGCGTTTGAACATGATTTAGTGCGAGCTTTAAAACGCAAGGTGACAGTCCAGACAGATGATAGTGGCGGACTGCTCTGGACTCGTATTCTGCAGGGGGTTAACGATAGTTTGCGCCGTCAGCCAAATGGCAACCAGGAACAGCCTTCGCGCCATCGATCAAACTCACTTCAAATCGAGCCATGGTTCACATACTGGCTGGGGGTTATTCCGTATTTGCTTCGTGCATCCCGTCTCCGGTATGGCGTGGACCGTTGAAGACGTCAGACGTTGGACTAGAGTCAGAACTCATCCAAAAAAGGAAACACTACCGGATGCGAGTCAGGTGACATCACGATCTACTAAAGTGCGAGCTTAATAGGACTCAAATTTATGCAATTTATGAGCAAGTAATGGAATATACAGGGACCGATGTCACGACGTGATTTGCATTTGACCTTTGTATCACAATTCCATTCTTGGGTTATATGGCCCTTGAAGTAGCCTTAATCCAAGCATCCAAACCGTGTATCATGCAGACATAAACACCAACGCTAGCCTTGCATTGTACATGACCAAGTACCCGAAGATCAATCCCCAGATGTGATTCCCAGGTGTGATCCCCAAATCATATGCATGTTCCAATCCGCATTGCTTTTTTACTGACCCATATGCAGAAAACCACCCATTTTTGTGTCCGTATACTCCATATGTATCCCATCATAATATCATAATCACGTAGCCATTGTAGCGTAAGTTCGTAACTCGTAACTTTCATGGTAAAAAGATCAACATAACGTTGACTCAAGCCATCACGGAATAAGACTCGAAGGCCCGGATTCCTCCGTAAAAGAGGTCTGAGAAAGATATTCTCCTTTGCTTTTTCGGCATAACCGTGTCTTTCTCTGTGGAAGATATGCTCAAGACGCGCTTGACCTTTTTAGCGAACTTATTCGTTGAGCAAGTTTTGAGCAACTCTTCGTTCCCGTCTTGAGGGATTTCGGTATGAAAAAGGGAGATGTGTTGTCGATCAGGATCGCAGTTCGATGTAGGTGAAAGAGTTGACTCAAATGAGCCAGAAGAGTCGGATTTTGATGATTGAGCGTGCTTTGATCGTAACGCATTGTGCGCTTTCTGAGAGATACAACTGATCCTCTCCTTCCACCTCTTGTTCTTTTGATCAGTAACAGAGCTTTGGGGCTCACTGTCCACTGCCTGAAGGTTAGTGTCTTGATTTTGTTGCTCATTTGAAATCTCGAAAGTAGTCTCGCTGCCAGATTGTCTGCTCGTTGCATGAGTGCCGGATGAGACGCGCTGGTGAACCTTTTTATTATGATCCCTTGGATCGGTTGATTCGAGCTGGTCAATGTGGCCAGTGTAATTTTGGTCATCCTTGTCCTGTTGGACGGTCTCGAAATCTAGTTCGATATGACCGTTTTGACCCAGCTGGTTTTTTTGGTCGTCTTCGTCTTGTTTGACGGTGTCAATCATGTCAAGTTCTTGGTCGTGTCGATTACGTCCGCCTAGGTGGCTGCTTTGCAGAAAGCCATGAATTTGACCATTCTGGTCATTTTGGCCATTCTTGGCCTGCTCGATTACCAAATCGTTGGTATCTCGGTTTTGCTCGACGAAGTCATTATTCTGGTCGTCTTGGACCTGTTCAACATTATCCACCGTATTAACTTTCTCGTTTTCTTCACTATTCAGAGCGGATTCGTCCTCCTCATGAATAGTTTCTAGGGTAGGCTCAAGTGCCGCCCTCTCTATTATGTATTTTCTCCGGCGCTCGGCCTCCTTGAACTCTTCGTAGCTGAGCTGGACGATCTCGCCGATGTCCAGGTGCTCATCATCGCTGTCATCGCTGTCATAGTTATTGTTGGTGTTCTCACTATCGTCGGTGTACTCGTTACCCTCGCTGCCGTCTTCAGTCATGAAGTCCAAGGCAGACTCGAAGCCGTGGACGGAGGTTTCTCTCTGCAGCCCGGCGAGCAAGTCGGGTGCGCTTTGGCTGAATGCTCTCCTTATGCGTGGAATTAGGGAGGCTGGTCGCTGAATCCTAGGTGCTATGCTAGGTTCCGCACCTATATTATGTTTTTCATTCGCCCCTGAAACCGATATATCGCCTAAGGTGGAGGTGGTTAACTTACCATCCAAGTCCTCGAGATCATCCGAAGACACACAATGCCTTAGGTGTGAAGGCTTGTATGGCGTCTTTGGTGACCGGGTTTGGCTTGGGGCCAGGAATTTCTCTGCGTAGAGTCGCTGGTGTTCAACCCCCCATTGAGCCCGTGACCTGATCGTGTGATCCCGGACGTACCCATTTCCAAAGTGAAGTGGACTCCCCATGTACATATCGATGTTTCCGGTGTCCATAATGGTGCCGCCTGCGATATCGTCATGGTCCGTTTTCCAGTTTCCATGGGGGCTGTAGAATTTGAAGGCCCTCCCTTTCGCCCACCGGACAAGCTCAGATCCTCTCAGGCGGAAGTCCTCGGGGCTGTTCTCTGGATGAAGTACCACAGGGTCAACGTGTCGCATGGCTGTGCGCATGATTGCGTCGAGACGCCATTCGTCGCCTTGTTTCGGGATTTTGGGGGCCGTGAAAAGAAAGAGCAAGGAGATGGTAGGTGGTGTCGAGGAGTATTCGTATCTGGGGGTACCGAGCCAGTTAAAATGATGAATGGATTCACCAGCGGCCTCCATCCAGCCCTGTCGGAAGGCAAACTCCTGGTTGACATCCTCTTGTATGCTGGCCCTTTTTAACTCCTCGTAGTCTGGTTCTGGCGTTGTGGCCTCTGAGAACATCACCTCATCGAAGTCTGACCACTCGCCCTCCTCGTCAACTAGCTCATCAGAACTATTGCTTGGCTGCCTTTCGAGATCGTAGAATGATGCCATCGTCTCCTTGAGTTCTCCCTCACTAATGCTCCTCTCACCCTGCCCTTCTATTTCCTCCTCCCCCTCCAGCTCCTCAGACTCGTCAGCCCAGACAAACTGGGAGGGCTTGAGGAGTTCCTCCACCTCCGTTGCCTGTATCGTTGACTTCTCGTTAGTCTTCGATGGAGAACATCGATATGTAGGCGCGTCGTCTGTAGGATACTCACACTATAGTTGCGCTCCATAGCCAGCATAAAATAACCCGCGATGGTTATTATCGATGTATTGATGATGGTGGTGACTATAATGATGGATATCCACAATAGCTGTATCGCCAAGTTGGAATCCTCCATGGATGGATGTAAGAAGGAAGAAGCCCAGCTCGAGGCAACCGAGGGCTTTATATACCTCAGCCTAGATGAGAATTGATGCCTGTATTCACCACACAAAGTCATGTACCTATGGTTCACAGCAGAAACAAACAGTAGCCATAGGCAGTGACTAATAGGGTAGGCAGCAAACACAAAAAAAGCTTCCAGGCACAAGATTGAAAGAAAGTCATCATGTATAACATATATAAGGACAAAGAATAGTCTGATGATGTCTTTGCATGCATGTTTAGATAGGTGAGCCCTTATGAAGAGTTAAACTGGGTGAGGTAGTTTTTTGTTTACCTAAATAGTTTTCAGCCCTAGAGTGCCCTTGTTTGCCATGTATATATTCACTAATGGCTTTATTAACCAATAAGAAATCAAAACTGGTTTGTTTACCATTAAACGCCCAAGTATAAGAACACAGCAGCGCTACATCACTAGCGTATCGTGCCGGGCCCAAGACAGCTGCAAGAATGTAGTTGCTGTCAGACGCAATGCGGTGGCCGTCCGTTATATATGAGATATAGTTTATAAGAGCTGCAGGTACAGGTTCAGAGCGCGACAAACAGCGCGGCGTCGACTTTCGAGCGTGGAGCTTTTGATCGCTTGTCTCAACACCCTGGGCTGTTTCTCGCTCGGTTTTCGAAGGGTTCGGCTTGTTTCTTCTTGGAATGAAGAACTTTCTGTCTCGCCTGGTAGTTCTGTGTCCGTATCTTGAACACTCCGCTTATATTTTTCTTCATTTGGGGTGCGAGCATCCTGGCGGGCCTTGATCTCACCCTCGCACTCCATTTGATACCTTTTCATATCCAAACAGGACTTTGTCTTATCCATATCAACTTGCTAAAGTGTCTAATTTCGGTTTATGCTTGAAAATCCTTCCCTGGTTCTCTGCTCGCCACTAACGCATGGCAAATTTTGCCGGACTCGAAAGTGTCCATCGTGAGAACGGTTGCCGCATTTGTTTGAATATGAGAATGGAGGAGAATATATATAAAATATGGTCCAATGTCTTGGAGCGCGTCTTCGCATTTGGCTCCCTCATCACGGATGGCACTGTCGGTGTTTTGCTGTATGGGCAATTTGCGCCTGAAGTACGAGGCATCGAGTGGTTTATGAAGCCATCGCCATTGATTGACGCCATTATGTCACAGACTTCAGGCAGATATAGAGACGTATATATCATGACGCTTGAGGTCCGTATGTTGCCATACTAGGCATACCATACTAGGCAACGCCGCGTTCCTCAGCCCTAAGGAACAGTTAGCGAGATATTCATCAACGTTTTTCGCGCAACTCACCATTTCCAGAGCTATATCATCATATATCCCAAGCTATATATATTTGTATATAATTGTCTATATAACTGCAACCAAGATCAAATGTCAGCACAGAATGAAAGAGAAAGAACGGACCCAAATCCGAACGGGAAAACCTTCAGCCGACGGACCCCTCTACGATATCCGCTTCCCCGCACGCATTCGGCCTCAAGTATTCGCAATCGCAGTCACAGTTCTCCATCCTTCTTCGAGCTTCTTATTTATCTACGTTCCCTCTCCCGGTAAATTCTCTATCTCTGCGAAAATTCTTTATGAACCATCTTCGGGCGTATACCAGATCAATCAGATTCCTACGCCAGCTCACCTCGTCTCCCAAACCCCTCTCCGCACTCTCTCCATCTTTCCGGACGAACCCGTTTCAAGTTACAACCCAACCAACCATCCCCAAACGCACAATGGCATCCGCAATGGCAAAGCGCCTGGAAGGCAAGACGGTCGTTGTGACCGGTGCTTCGGCGGGAATTGGTAGAAGCACTGCGAAGGAGTTCGCGCGGACTTCGCCTAAGAATTTGAAGATTGTTGTGACGGCTCGCCGCATTGATTCGCTGAACCAGCTTGCTCAGGAGATTAAGGAGGAGGTTGGTGAAGGCGTTAAGGTGTTGCCTGTGAAGTTGGATGTTAGCAATCCGGAGGAGGTGAAGGGCTTTGTGTCGGGTCTTCCGGCGGAGTTTCAGGATATTGATATTTTGGTTAACAATGCGTGAGTTCTTCTTGGTTACCTGCTCTGGCAGAAGAGCGTAAAATGAAATGCTGACGAAAACAGCGGCTTGGTCAAGGGCGTCGCCAAAGCTCCGGATATCGACCCTCAAGACATCGACACTATGCTCAGCACCAACGTCACCGGTCTGATCAACATGACCCAGGCGGTGCTGCCCATTTTCAAGAAGCGAGAAGATGGTGGCCGAGGAGACATTATCAACATTGGAAGCATCGCTGGTCGTGAGGCGTACCCTGGTGGCAGCATCTACTGTGCCACCAAGGCTGCCGTCAAGTCTTTCACGGATGCGCTTAGAAAGGAGCTTATCGCGACGAGAATTCGTATTATCGGAATTGACCCCGGTCAAGTGGAGACGGTGAGCATGGCATGTTCTTGCAGTTAAAGGCAAAGCTGATCGTTCCCTAGGAATTCTCCATTGTGCGGTTCTATGGTGACAAGCAGAAGGCTGATTCGGTTTATGAGTACGCCACCATCTCAATATGCTTATGCGTCGGGAGAAGAAGCTGACATGCTACAGGAATTGTGAGCCGCTCACTCCGGATGACATTGCCGAGATAATTGTGTTCTCTGCTGGACGTCGGGAGAATGTCGTGATTGCCGATACATTGGTCTTCCCGAGCCACCAGGTGAGTTTTGCGCGAGAAAATGAAGACCAAATGAAGCTGACTGTAGACAGGCATCTCCCACTGCGGTGCACAAAAGAGGTTAAGCATTAAATAGAAGGAATAAGTACTCCGTACATACTACGAACATAAAATCCAGAATGCCATGAACACGAGAACGATGCATACCTGCTATCAACACCGAGAATAAACAAGAGAGCCTTATCGAAATGCCCTAAGCACTCGACCTAGCTAGTGCATCCACGGCCTACGCAAAAATCGCCGCAACAAGCGTGGCATTAAACAACCCTACCATTAATTCCAACCAAACTATCCCAATTCCCTTTCCGGCTCCATACATATAACAATCCCACACTAACCCCCCTCGGCAATAAACCCATATTACTCTCTACCACAAAAATCATCTAGTCCTCCATCAACCCTTATTCCAATATAAGCCCAACTATGTATTTCACATGCCATCCCAGCCCCGGATATTATCCGCCTAAACGGGTAAAGTCAGGAAAAGGGGGCAAGGCAGGAATTCTGGAACTCGAGATGACCCACTAAGGCCGGCCACTGTGGCCCCTGAATCAGTGGGTCTTCCATATCGGTATCGGATGTGATTAGTGATAATGGAATTGACTGGTTTCTAATTTTGATACCTAGGGATATAGTGGTCGGAGATAGAATTACATATACTGCACGTTTTATAGGTTTCTTCTGTGCAGGTATACTTACAAAGGCTTTGTATAGAGCACTATGTACTTGTACAAGGATAGAAGAACTCCATAGTACGATAGATAGTCAAACAAAGTTTACGCTAAAAACAACACTAAAGACTAATACAGTGATTGGACCGTTGACTTCAGCAGATCACCTGCAGGCAGCCAATCAGGGTATGGATCAGTGGACATTTACCAGAAATGGGATGGCGGATTTACTTGACTGGCGAGTGTCCAGTCTCGCTTGGGTCATACAAGCGTGGTTATGTCGCTGCTGAGATATCTGATAAGATGAGAATGTATGGAGTAAGGTTTGTCTTGGATACTCATACGTGTTTTAATTGAGTGAGATCGAGACGGAAACGGAGACGGAGACTCCGATGGTGAACCTGTCGTCCCTGTCCCTGTCCCTGTCCCTGAGAAAGGCGTATGATCTATCTGAGAACGCAAAGACGTTCATTAAAAAATGACGTACTCAATATTGGCCCGTGCTTGGATCATATCATCACTACCGTCAACCATGAGTGTTATGCCATGGCTAGTTATGAGATTGTCTGTAAGGTCTTGCCGGATAATATCGAAACAATTATGCATGTATAGCAATAGTCAGACGGAGCAATACGACTTGGCACGTCCACGCCAAGCGATCCGAATTGGGATGGACATCTCGGGCCATGGTTACCGAGCACTGATGTGCTCTGTACGGGTGCAATTTCAGTGCCCTGCACGCGTACCAGTGGTAGGCTATCTGGTTCAGCTATTTTTGGAGCATAAAGACGTCGCTTAGTCAAATGCTGAGTAGATGCCATACCAAATGCTCAATTCCGTACTGCGTACGGAGTAATCAAACAGTCCTGAATGGCCCTAATGCACTATGTACAATGATGCAACCCATGCAAGGTGCGGTGTGCCGCGGATTAGCGCGAAGGACATCCCAGCCCATGCAGGTTCACTTTCACTTCCGATTGAAACAGACACAGATTCGATCTGTGAGCGAATCCCAGGGTAAACAAATAATCAAATCAAACCCGACGATTGATGCGTGGAGATATAGCCAATTACCTAATCCGCAAATCGCGATACAAGCGGCAACCAAAAAAAAAAAAAAAAAAAAAAAGTGGCACGTCTTTGATTTGGGCCCCAGAACAGTAAGATGTAGGGGGTCCACACAAAGGCATGATAAAGATCAAACTGATAGTCGACGATGAGTATCGATAGTTTGTGGATGCCAAGGCGGATACGGCTGTCAAAGGCTCTGCTGCATCCACGTTGGGAGTGAGATTTCTCGAAGCGGATATTCATTCAATGTCGGCATTCCGGACAAGGAAAGTGACTGACCTTAACCGTGGGCCTTGTGGGTTGATTGTCAGATGGAGGCGATGGATCTGTGTGTTCTTTGTATCGTGCCTCAACTGAGGCAATGCAGCAATAGAATGGTGTACGCAGCGCTCAGAGGACGGGATACACCGTAATCATCCATTCAGTCGGATGATTGATTCATGTTGTGATGCTGACTCGGGTCCGGGGCACTCCGCTGATTCTAAAAGCCCCAAATCCCGCTGCGGCTCACCGCAGGGAAGAGATTCTTCAAACGACGAGTGGCTGGGGTAGATTCCGAAACCCGTTTGTCCACCGAGCGGCGTAAACAGATATCTGCTTCCGCCCTGACTCAGTTTCGGGGATTTGCTAGAGAAGTGTCGTTAAGCCGGCACTAAGACGAATCTCGAATGCTCTGGGAAGATTAGTTGGCTGTCAAGGTGGGCTAGATCATACATCGTGCATCGGAGACTAGCAAATGACATGGGATGAGAAGAAAATCAACCCACCGGGGTAATGGAGGATACTCCATAGACATGGGGATAGACACTACAGGGTTGCTCATCTCCAGCATTTACTCTATAGTTGTTGTAGTAGCCGTAGCGATTGCCTTTATATGGCGAGAGTGTTATTGTGTTATCTCCACCGCCAGTCGCATACTGCCACCGCCCAGCGCCCCTTTCCTCCGACTAGCCTCGAATTCTCCCTCTTCTCCATCTCCTCCATCGCTAATCCGCGTTATTCCTCTTGAATTTCTCTGTTGTTCAGATTAAAAGTGATACTGGACTGGTTCTCTGTCCTTTCGCCGTGAATTCGTGGATTTTCGACCAACAATCGCCAACCAAGGTACGCTCTCCTCTTGCTTGAACCTCTCTGGCTCTAGCCGACGATTCCCTCCCCACCTCCTCTTCTCAGACTCTCTCTTTTCCCCTGACTTCTTCCGTTCTTCTCCCATCATTATTACTCCGTGTCGTGTTTCTTATGAGCCTACAAAAAATAGGAAGAAAAGAACGCTTCATATTGACAATCCCATCTTAGGGTAGAAGCGATTCCGAACCGGCCTCCTCCCCCCCTGATAACTTCTTTCCCCCGTCTCCGTCATTAAGCTTGGTCTAGTAGTAACTAGACCCGCTGTTGCTGTGGACTGAGCTCTCTCGTTGCGCGAAACCCTTCCGACGAACTGGGTCCCGACCTCTGAGCGACCGATTCCCCTTTCTCCGTCTCGCTCTCTCCCTTCTGCAAGAGAAAATTGTGTTGCTTTCCTCGACCCGCTTCAATTGGGATAGCTTCAACTTCCGTTTACTTCTTCCTCTCCTTCCTTTTTCTCTTTTTCCCTTTTACTTTTTTAATACGTGCGCTTAACGACAGTGTTTCGCAATGGCCTCCAAGGTGAGTTTCTTTTTTTTCCTCGTCCCTTCTCCCCTTGCTGGTTATCCGGCTACGTTGTTGCTTTTCGCTCCTCTCCTATCTTTGCGCTTCGATTCAATCATGTTGCGCCTTTTCTATTCATCGCTCTTTTAAATAAGAAGTAAAAGGCTTACCATATTCCTATCATCTGTAGTTCCTCAGAGAGTACAAATTAGTTGTTGTCGGAGGTGGTGGTGTCGGAAAGTCATGCCTCACGATTCAATTGATTCAGAGTCACTTTGTTGATGAATATGATCCGACAATTGAAGGTGGGCAACGTCGCGTCTATGATCCTATCGATCGTGTAACTCATACAGTTCTTCCACTCGACAGATTCGTACCGCAAGCAGTGTGTCGTCGACGATGAGGTCGCTTTGTTGGACGTCCTGGATACTGCTGGTCAGGAGGAATACTCGGCAATGCGTGAACAGTACATGCGAACCGGCGAAGGCTTCCTGTTGATCTACTCCATCACATCGCGCCAATCCTTCGAAGAAATCATGACCTTCCAACAACAAATCCTGCGTGTCAAGGACAAGGACTACTTCCCCATTATTGTGGTCGCCAACAAGTGCGATTTGGAGAAGGAACGTGCTGTCTCGCAAGAAGGTTCGTCTCTCGTTGATCGCAATTCGCGACCAATACTAATCTCGATTGCTTTACAGAGGGTGAGGAATTGGCTCGTCAGTTCGGCTGCAAATTCATCGAAACATCAGCAAAGTCGCGCGTCAACGTTGAGAACGCCTTCTACGACCTTGTCCGTGAGATCCGCCGATACAACAAAGAGATGTCGAACCCTTCCGGTTCGGGCGCATTCGGTTCGCGCGCCCCTGAAGGCAAGATGGACGTGAGCGAGCCAGGTGAAAGCGCTGGCTGCTGCGGAAAATGCATTGTTATGTAATGGAATTGGCGTTGGATTTTTAATGGCGGACGCAAGACGCTCGGCACGAAAAACGCCACCACCTCGAGTCGAAACGAACAACCCAAGGGATAAAAACAGAAGAAAAAAGACGGAAAAAAAAAAAAAGTTGACTCGGTATCAACCTCTGTGCCGCCTTGCGAGCCTCGGCTTGCAACTTGTCAATGCGTCCGCGACGTGATTTTAATAACCTACGAGGCCTGCCACCAGATGATGTCTGCTTACTCCCATATAATGCCGCCATCGTCTCCATGATTGTTCGATTCCCCCTTTGTTTTGTTGGTTTTTTTTTTTAGAAAGGTTGTTGATGTTTATTCTCTTTTGTTAATGGGCAAACGAACAGGTGAGAGTGTCACTTCAGATACAGCTTACCTCGAGCTTCAGACCCCGATTTGGTTATTTTTGCCGGCCTCTGATATTTACTGGACTTGTGAACGTACATCTGATATTTCTGCCGATATTACTTATTATTCTTTATTACTATTTCCTTTTCTGATGCATCTTGTTTGATCCGCTTGTCATACATATTCCCCCAATGTCAACCATTGCATTATGGATATACTCCAGGTAATGTTTACCTGTTTACAGGGCCGTTGGAGGCCAGGAAAATACAGCGTTGTTCTTATCTCTGGTGCTTTTTTACTATCTTAGTGGTTTCAATCGCAGCCAACGCTCAACTTTTAGAAAATGCAAGCCATCAACCTGTGCGAATGAACAAGTGTTTACTCTGTATACTTTTACCTTCTATGCGAACGAATCCTGCTGTCACTTGGATCCGCCCGACTTCCGAAAAAATCTAGGTCCATCACACCGCTGTTTGGTGACATGCATGAACCTCTCGCTGTCACAGCAAACTAATGGATGTGTCAGATATGTAATAGTGGGTTCTTTTGCTCTGGGTTTGTGCTTGGCTGCATTGTGGAAAAGCAAAATGGCAGTTCTACTTTTGGAAGAGTACGAAGTGCGATTGTACTGCGGTATATGTAGTTAGCAATGAATAATAAACCAATCTCCGCACCTTTTATATGCATACTACAGTCCTTCATGCCGGTAACAGATATTTATTTGAGGTGAATAACAGCAATTCATAAGTGCTATAGAATAGACATGTACTTGGTTTTCTACACAGGTTGAAGGCTCTCCCTTTCCATTTTAGTGCTCATTCCTTCTACTCTGCTTCTTACCATGCCGTCACGGTCTCTGCTAGTAGATAATAACGAATGGTATTCCTATCTAAACTAGGTAGTCCACCAATGAGAATATTGAATCTGGAGAGAAGAAGAAAAATGAAAATCCATCCAGATAATGAAGGGATTTTGTAGTCACTGTGCAGCAGGGCTCCTGCCTGTACTTGCCTTGATTGCTTGTCTGGTGTATTGGTACTGTTTGTTTATATCACCCATTGACGCAGCGTTGAGCCGTCACAGGCAGGCAGGTGCTTCTGGCGGATCTTTCGTGGGATATCATGTAGGTCTCGTGTTTTTGCAGGTTTCAATGGCGCATTGCAATGTGTCAGATTCAAGTATGCGCATGGAAATACAAGTGGTAAGAAAGCAAAGATAGAAACTACAGTCAAACCTCATTAAGACAATACATTCTATCCAGCTGCTCCTATCGTTTTAGCGCGAGTATCATATTATTGGGGGTATTTTATATGGTAAAATGAGAATCGGTGCAGGCGAATAGTATCAGCTAAGCGCGAATATTGGCTTAACGAATATATAGTTAACAATCTGCCGATGTAGTAGTCAAAGTCAAGGCTCACTGATCATGATAGCCAAATAGTATCGTCAACTTTCAACACTGACTATATAGTATAGTCACCGATATAGTATCGGCAAAAGAGGCAAATGGCAAATCGTGAACAGCCCTGGCCAAATCATTTCTTCTTTCGATCTTATATCTCTACTATCTGCACCTCCAAGTCTCCTCTACTTCCTTCTTCCCATCCTTCTCGGACTCCCTGTCTACTTCGCGACCATTGCAAGCTCAAGCCATTTATATAACCATTTTTCACGCGCGCAAACCCAAAACGACCCCGAGTCATCTGCAACCACAACAGTGTTCCTTCCGTCTTTTCACCCTAGACACGTCTTCTCACCTACATCGAATCTTTGTCATCTATATCGCAGGCAAACATACTAAAAGTACACAAAATAATATTCAAGAGAAAGATTTGCGAGATGTTCAGAAATCCCCGGGTGGTCGCACCTGATAGCGTATCTTGAGAATTCAATTAAATACTCAAGCCTCTACCTGTCATACCGTGGGGGCAGTTTGCAATGCATCATCTAGGTGTCCCAACTGGGGCAGGCGTAAGTAGTTTCTCTCTTACTATTTAGCCTAGTTCTCACTGATTATCATTGCAGGATCACATGTTTGTTGTCTGAGACGAACATCATCAGACGGCGGCTCAGATGCTCGAAGACTTGGGATTTATCCAAGTCCCTCGTGTTCGCCGGATCCCCTTTGAAACTATGGGTTCTCTCCCAGATCTGCAAGCCGTTCTTGGTGAGATTAACAAAGGCTATGTACGCCTAGACCGTTATTGCACGTCATTCCGATCCTCGCCTCATCTTCCTTTCAGCGGGGACCAAATCTTCTCCATTCCCAACTCCTTCGCGCATTTACCGCTGGATGAATCTGGCATGACTTCAAATTAGTCAGGCCAGATGATTCAACCAAAGCAATATGAAGTGTATGGCAACTTATTCTATCCGCTTGAAACAGCGTTGGTTGAGAGCTTTGTTAAAGGAGTTATTCATGACATTGAAGAGGTTGTGTATTCGTCTTGGGGTTGCTACCAAGCACCTGAATATCAATGATGCGGGTCTATCTTGAAGTCAACGATGATATCCTCGATAACCTTGCGGATCAGCGGGCAGTAGATTGGTATAGCACGCATTTTGGTCGGATTCACCAGGCCCAGTATGGTGCATGAGGCCTCCGGATTTCAAAACGCCTTGGTCCTGGAAAAGAAATGCCAGTGGACATGATGAGAAATCCTATCGCCTAACACTTCTACTTTTTAGAGTCGGCGATGAGTTTTAAGATTCAAATATTTAAATGAAAAAATAGAGGGTTGAATAATTCTCCAGTGCGCGATATGTAGCTTGTGCAATGTATGTAGATAGGGCCGATAGTGTGTACAAACAATGGCAGTCTGCGTAAAGATGGCGGCCTTCTACTGAGAATACAAGTGGAAGCAACAAAGCTGGCAACAGTGAAGCCTTTCAGATATGGTATTTCAAGCATTGAGTCACCTGGAACAAGTGCGTATCTCAAAAGCCATGCAACAAATTCACCTCCATGGCATCTACATAAATCTCAATTAGCATTTCATTCCGACAAGGACGACAATGGGGCGTCCCAGTTGTCGAAGATCGCTGGATTATTGATCTCTGGCTTTAGGGTATGTCGCATTCCCGGCCAATTCTTCAGTAGATCTGCCAATGCGGTCTTCAATTCTTCCATATGACCGAAGTCGAGTTCCGGCACGCCAGGTACAGCAAAAACGATCAAGCGTTCCACATCACAAATATCAGTCTGTGCTTTTGGGCCCTGCCGCTGATACTGTGATGAATTTTCTCACGCAGAATCCATTCTGGACTGAATGTTTTGACCGGATATCCATTGATAGTCAGTGTCCTTCGGCTAGCAGTCTGGAGATTGTACTGAGGCCGCTGTGGCCAGCGTTTGTAATTAAGCACCTCAATTTCCACCAATTGCTTAATGCCTCTCGGCAAGCAAAGTCTGTAGGCCAGGATAGTGTGGCTAAACTGGTGAACCGGACCGAAATCAAAAGGAAATGATGTGAGAAGCTGGGTGATTAGCCGGTCCACTGTAATCTGACGCTGATCCATATGGATCACTAAATCCACGTCTTCTGTCCTTCAATTTGGGTCATGGGTCAAGAGGCAGACAGCAGCACCACCCATGATTGCATAGCCAATCTACAATGCACCCAGTCTTTGCACCAGCGTTGAGGTTATGGACCTTAGTTGCTCGGGAGGGAGAATGTCATGGACTCAGACCAGTAGATAATAACGAATTGATATTCCTATCTAAGCTACTGTAGCCATCTACGGGAATATCGAATTAGGGAAAGAAGAAAAGGAAATCTATCTGGTGATGAACGGTCTTTATAGACATTTGTGTTGTGCGGCTTAAGCCCTTGTTTGCCTATATTTGCTTGTATGGCGTTGTTTGACATGTTGGCGCTGTTTGTCTGGGGTTGAGCCGTTGAGCCGTCATATTATTTATGCACTTCTATATGGTAATTGTGAATGCTACATAATTCTGTCAACCAAGGCCCTACTTCCACAAAGCTAAAAGAAATAGAGAGGGTAACTCAGTTTGGTAGGCTCTTCGCTTGGTACATAAAGAGGCGTGACACGATGGCAGATCCATAACTCCTATTCTCTGCTGCTGCCTTGACCACTTCTTCAGACACTGGGAGACTCTTTCCTCGGTGTTCAAAGAGGAGTTTCATGATGTCATGTCCATCATCATCATTTGCTGCTGCTGTCTTGACCACTTCTTCAGAGACTGGGAGACTCTCCCCTCGGTGTTCAAAGAGGACTTTCATGATGTCACGTCCATAAGGTCTATTCTCTGCTGCTGCCTTGACCACTTCCTCAGACACTGGGAGACTCTCCCCTCGATATTGAAAGAGGAATGCTATGATAACATATCCAAGAGGCCCATCATTCCCTGCTGCTTCCATCATCACTTTGGAGATTGGTAGGCGTTTTTCTTGATGCTGCAGGAGAGCCCGTTCAGATTCTTTTGCAGCATATCCAGAATAATCTGCAATGGCCTTGACCAGTTTATTAATCATTGGGCCTTTCATTCCACTCTGATATAGTAGGTGTTCCAATGCTTTGCTTTTTGAAACTTCAACCTCCATTGTTCCCATGGCGATATCCACCATGACCCAAGTTATATGATTCAGTCTCTTCTGAACTTCCGAAGGGTCTTCTCGCCATTTTGGTGCCATATCAATAAGCTTTAATGGGACTTCTGGCCCACTCTTGTTTTCTCTGTTAGCCAAGAGTATTTCCCATGTCAGGACAAAGTCACAGTAACCATCCATAAAATTTCTTTCCTGAGACATCTCATTCAAAGCTCCTCTCTGTCTCTGTTGGGGTTTTATGGAAGGTATGATTATCGTGAAATGGTCTTTGCACAACCTGATAATGCTTGGCTTTGAAGCCCCTTGCAAAAGACAGATGATATCACCCTCTTGAATTGACTTTCCACAAGCTTGGAGTATCCATTCAGCTTCCCATTGATCTTGATAACCCAGTGACCAGGCAGTATCGTTAAAGAGGATTTTGATGTTTTGCTGGCCATATCCAGAAGTATTCTTTTCAAATGAGATAATGTGACCTAGAATCCATCCTTTCCCTTTGATAACAGCTGCTTCTGTTTCAAACCATGTCTTTACAGAACATTCTGGGAAAATGTGATTGGTAACCTGCTTGAAGACCTCATCCCATGGGAGTCTATAGTTTGGTCTTAAAGCTTTTGCATTAGAGTCAGCACTTAGGCCTAGCAATGCATATACTTTGTCATTGTAACGGGCTAGGCCCGAAAAGCACCTCGAATCATGAATGATTCTCGATTGAGGCTATCCGCAGAACCACCTCGAAGTCAGGTGACCTGTGGTCACCTGATCACGAGGACACGTCCAAATTCATTGCCCGCCATACTAACGATTCTTCCTTCCTTCAACGAGTTCTTTTTGTACATATCTATATACTAGATAGCAAGGCTTCGGCCTATTACAGTCATGCTGCCTAGTAGCATTGTGGTTGCAGTACATGCCAATGAGTTCCCCAATAGAAAGGCTTTCATGTGAATCAAGTTCATAATGTAGCCGAAAAGGTGCGCCCTTTATGAGATAAGTAACTGGGCCAACCACTGCTGGTAAACTTGAAGAAAGCCCCAATCTTCTGAGGCCTTCACAAAAAACGTGCCCGTTTATCTGAACAGAGCCACATAAAATATAGATACATTGTGCAACACCAACTTCCTGAAGCACCTGTCTTGGTTGGTTAGTGATATTTATCAAAACTGTAGGGTTATGTCTTACCCAGATACGACAAAACCAATTTCGCTGCAGCAATTGCAAACATGCATCACGGGTTTTTTCTGGTATATCCTGTTCTGCTCCAAGGCAACGAATTCCTTCAAGCGCTTTATCACCGTCTTCCATAGCCTCTCCAAGCCAGACAATGACATGCATAGCTTGTGCATAGATTGTTCGCATAAGTGGAATCTGCTTGCTTTTCTCGTCCTGATCAAGTTGGTTGATACTTATCGCATCAACCCACAGCACTCTATCAATTTGATCGTCTCGAAGGTTAATGAGCGCTGCATGAAGGTTGCTTGTAACAGGGAAAGTACAGCCATCTAATATGATTGAGTGAGATTTAATATCAGTCTCCCATACATAGGAAAGTGCCTCGTAAAGGTGCCCTCTGCCATCTTTCTGTGATAGAGCGTAGTTGAAAAGCTTGCATTCTATCGGGACATCCTTGTTCTTATGTGGCAAAAGGCGGATCATGTGTCACGGACTCGGACCAGTAGATACTAATGAAATGATATTCCTATCTAACCAGTGTAGCCATCGACTAGAATATCGAATCTGGAGAAGAAAAGAGAAGAGGCAAATCTATTTACATGAAGAAGTCCTATATGTTTGTGTGTGGTCTCGCTAAGCAGCTTGTTTGTCTTGGTTGCTTCCATGACATTGTTTGCCGTGTTGATGATGTTTGCTGATGAAGGCGCTGAGCTGAGCCGTTACATCATGCGGGTAATATTAGGCTCTTGCGGAAGCGATGAATACACGAAAAATTCCATA